AAAAAAAACTATCCAAAATAAGTCGAAAATCCTTTTATACAGTGTAAACGTCTTGGCTTGGAGTATTTTACAATGTTCAAATATATCGAGAGCAGGAGTATTCACTCGCACTCACACTCGCACTCACACTCACACTCACACTCGCACCCATATTCGTATTTATAGTTGCTTTAGCTGGCTGCACGTGTTTGGAATTTCAATTGGAAATTATTTACAAAAGCCTTCCTGAGGGCTCCCACAATGGTTCTTTGAGGGGGGCATAAACTGTTGCTGTTTGACCTTTTTTTGTGTATGTGTGTGTATGTGTGTGCATAAGAGATGGTAAAAAATCAATGAATGCACCCACAAACACACACAGCTCTAATATCTGTATACATATTTAGGTCTATGCTCTCCTCAATAGTAGTAAACAAAGGCAAACTGACCGTAGGCCGGCTTCAAGATGGAATACCCACAGCAGCTGGATAATATAATACAATAATTAGGTAATTAATCATATAATGCACACACCAACACTCCAGGCGGGTCATTAAGTCGAACGAGCCCAGCTTCCTCCGCTCCAGCCATCCGCCCGTTCATCCAGCGCCACGCCTCCGACAGCCAAACACAAATTGCTAATTAAAGATAAACAAAACACTTAAAAACGCAACAATACGTCTACGTTTGCCGGCGGCACATTATGAAAATTGAAAAGAAAATATTTAATTATATAAACAATTGGAGCAAGTGGAAACTGAAAAAGTTTACCTGTTGTACACACAAAAACACATTAGATGATAAAGAAGGCAGCAGACTGTGGGAGAGAAACTTCTTCAGCAAAGTTCCAGGCGAGCTAATGCTATTTATTATGATATTTAGCAAGGCTCCACTTGCTGTGTATATATACATATACCTGTATATACATACATACGTATATTTACATACATATATGCGTTTTAGCTAAGCATGTCTTCTATTCAATCAAGTTTGAGGCGAGCAACTTTTAATAAAAAGACTTCATACTTTTGAAAACATGATTTATAAAATGTGAATAGAAGTTTTTCCTAAAAACTTGAGGAAAGCCGATTTACTTTCAAGTGTTTTTAAGCAAAGGTTTTTGCTTGGGAAAAATTCAATTTTCGAAGCCAGATTTGATAGTATCTAAAT